TGCACACTCTGAATTTCTTCCTTCACTGTTATAGAGTAAAAGATTCTACCTGGCTAGCTGCTAACCCATATACTAGCTGGCTTTGGATACGGTGGGATGAATCTTATACTGGTAGACTATATATTTCAGTCCCAGAAATGATGTGGCTGTAAGGGAACAACAGAAGACACCTTATTATTTAAATGAGCAAGATTCTATCTAGGAAACTCTCAAACAAATCTAAAAAGCACAAAGATCTGCCTGAGAAAGAAGTGACTGCAAAATGTCAAAGCAAACTCAGGACTACTTAAAGGAGGGAATATTTACTATTTAAAGGACTATTTAAAGGAGGGATAAAATGGTAAGTGTGAGATTTTATAACATTTATTTGTCTGTTCTGAGCTCTAAAAGGAGAAAAAAAGTAGCATCATCAAAATAATCTCCCTTTGATTAAAAAAACAATAATTATGTCTATGTAAAGCTCTGTACACATGTATGAATGCAGAGAGGTGTCTCTCCCACGAAATATGGGAACTAAAAACTAAATATTAATAAGATGCAATAGGCATTCTCACAGCTTTAGAATTTGTAATATATTATCCATTGTTCCATAGGCTATGTATTACAGCTCTCTGATACCTGGTTTTATTATACTCTGCCTTTGAGACATTAGATTTATTTCCTGTTATTTTCTAAATATATAGCAAAAACAATTATAAATACAGCTGAATTTCTCTGAAGCTTTATTTAAATCATTCTTTTACCTTATATTAAGAATCCACAAAAATTTTAACATATATACACATATACACAGAAAGGTATATTTCTGACACACATTTTCGATAACATTTCCCTTCTGACCACAGCAAGCAGTCAAATCAAATAACAGCCTAAAACCACTTTATACTTCTCTCAGCACATTACCTATCTACTATAAAACACCAGATTAAAATGACATCATGGAGTAATACCTTACAACTGTCTTTCTTTATTTCACCACACACTGTGTTTTATCCAGTACAAGAGTAAGTACAGCAAAACGTGCCAAGTTTATTTATAGCATGGCAGTTGCTGGAATCTGTATATGTAATGCAGATTGATGCCATGTATCTCTATACACCGTTCCATAGAGTAACAGCATACAGAAGTAACAGCATTGTGGCATACAGATGAATACAAAGATTGTTTAAAAGTTTATGCAGCAGCTCGACTGAGAGGAAAAAAAAACACGTTTGATGTTAGCACTCTAATAAGGATCATGCCGGGATCAAAGACAGAAGCTGAAATGCCAAGATGCGTTACTGCATACCCCATATCCAACAACTACTACAAAATACGGTTAAGTCAGATCGTCTTCTAGTGATACGGAGGAAGAGTTGATCTGCTTGAGCGTAGGAAGGCCCTGCAGAGGGACCTGGACAGGCCGGATCACTGGGCTGGGACCAACGGCATGAGGTTGAGCAGGGCCAAGGGCCGGTCCTGCCCTTTGCCCACACCAGCCCCACAGAGCGCCCAGGCCTGGGGCAGAGGGGCTGCAGGGCCGCGCGGCAGGAAAGGCCCTGGGGGGCTGCTCGGCAGCGGCTGGACATGGGCAGCAGGGGCCCCGGTGGCCGAGAGGGCCGAGGGCCTCGTGGCTCCTGTCAGGAGCAGGGTGGCCATGGAGCAGGAAGGGATCGTCCCCCCGGACTCGGCGCTGGGGAGGCTGCACCTCGAACACTGTGCTCAGGTTTGGGGCCCTCACTACAAGAAGGACATGGAGGTGCTGGAGCATGTCCAGAGGAGGGCAACGAAGCTGCCGAAGGGGCTGGAGCAGAGACCGTGTGAGGAGCAGCTGAGGGAGCTGGGTTAGTTAGTCTGGAGAAGAGCAGGTTCTGGGGACACCTCATTGCTCTCTACGACGACCTGAAAGGAGGCTCTAGTGAGGCCGGGGTCAATCTCTCATCCAGAAAAACTACAGAAAATGGGACAAGAGGGAATGGACTCAAGCTGCACCAGGGGAGGTGCAGGTCAGACATCAGGAAGAATTTCGACATGACAAGAGAGGCGAAACACTGGAACAGGCTGCCCTGGCAGTGGTGGAGTCACCGTCCCTGGCAGGGCTCAGGAAACACGGAGATGAGGAGCTTCGGACACAGTTTAGCAGGCAGGATGGTAAAGGGTTTACAGCTGGACTTCATGATCTTGAAGGTCTTTTTCAGCCATAATGATTCTATATTTCTATGTGTTTTACTCTCAATTTCTACTGATACAAATTAGATTGGGCATGAGGTCAAAGAAGAAATCTTTATTCAACGAGGTACAAAAAACAAGGGAGAGAAAAAACTTTGGAAGTTCTTAATACAAAACTGAGCTGGATTTTTAGGTTTAATTGTAATATTGAGTACAATTTATTTTTATAGCATGAAACTTATGGGCTTTGATCCTTTTTTGCAAACTTAAAAAATACACACTAACCCAATAAATCCACTAGACATTCTAGACATTGCAGTGTTTTCCAAATACTGCAGTTCACTTCTGTAATAGCTAAAAATGAAATTCTTTACTTCAGCAACAGGCAATTGTCTGAATACATGTGACATTCAAGGCTATTACTGTGCTCTCAATCCTCCTTCCCATTCTGGCTGACCTTCTGTCATGTGGTCCTAGAGTCAAGCCTGGAAGTTACTGCTCAGTTTCAGAATGTCTCATATATCCCTTCACTGGCTGCTGCCCAGCAATGCAGGTATCGACCATTACAGCATCTCTATTTTAAGTAAAACAGAAATATTTTGCCTTTTTTTTTTCTCCTTTTACAAGCAGCATTCCAATAGTAATTTTCCTGTAGTTTTTTTTTCCCTCCTCTCACTGCAGCACGTTGCAGATTAACTAGATTACATCACTACATTTGGCCTTGAGACACACAATATTTAGTGAAATGAATAACTTAGATTATCTAAACTTACTCCCTGCTCCCTGGAAGACTAGTCACCAAGCTTTACCTAGTAATTCTCTGGAGGATCCTCATCACTCACGGTTGAATCAGAAGGCGTATTTAGAGGGCTATGATAAACTGCAGGAGAAATTGCCATCCTCTACATTAAAAACCTGAACCACAAAATCCAGTCTTAATTTGCAAAGCATCTATTTTCTTTTTACAAAAAAGCACATAACTCTGAAAGTAAGCTGATTAAGTAACTATTTCTGAACAATTGATTTCTGCTACATTCACTGTATCATTTAGATCAGTGATCTTTCTCACCATGTTGAATCGGACTAGATAAAGTAGCACAAAGCTGCAGCTCTGCAGTTCTGCACATTCACGTGTTAATTCCTGCCACATATAATAGATCCCCTTTTCTATGCATCTTATAAATTATTCCTCTGCATATGCAAGGATATAATCAGGAATACCTTTGCAGAATGACTGAAATACTTTCTCAGTGATACCTGTATCTCATCTACACAAAACAGTGACTGTTTTTATTTTCCACTCAAACCTATTAAAATCACAGCACAGCAAAACATAGGTAAAAATAAAGAAACCAATATGTTATCCCATCTCTCCTCTCTCAGCCACCTGTTGTAAATGCTGTTTTTCTTTTTTAAGCATGCAGACCCTGGCATACCAAACTATATCAAAAGAAAGAAAATAATTTGCACGGAAAGGCAAGTCTTTCCAGAGAATTTTGAGAATCTGACTCAGCTAAGAAGATAAGAGATTTCTTTAAAGAAACAAATTTACATTTCAAATATAGCCAACTTTATAAAATTGTCTGCAACTTCCTGTATATAAGCCAGAGGAGCTTTCAAGCTATGGCATGCATGCTGATTGCTTCTGCCTTACAACTGTGGAAGGAAATTCCCATTGCCATTCTCTTACTCATATTTTCTCTTTTTCAAACAGTTTCTACCTTTTTTTTGTTAGTTCTGCTTTTTAATAAATCAGTTCTATGTAATCTAGCTTGCGGAAAATAGCTGCATTTTAGATTATCTGTTGATCCAATAAGAGCAGAAAAAGAGTCTATTAGCATTTTCAGTATTGTGTGTGATTCAATCTAAACCTCCTTTTCCGAGGATCAGCAAAATACTCTTTTATGCAAACAGAGACATGCCTATAGTAATGTTGTACTTCAACCTGAGGAAAGCTGTAAGAGCACAAGGGCAAAGCCATCTGAATTCTTCTGAAAACATCTTGCTTTTACCAGTTGCAAAATGCTTGGCTTTCCTTGCCGCTTGCCAATATACTCTGTGCCATCCTGAATCTATGTAAGGCTGAGACTTCCTAGCGACTATTCATAACCATGAAACATCAATTCTGTTCTAAGAAATCCAACTTACAACCCCACTGTTGCCCTATTCTCTTCTGTACAAATGGGCTTTTGTGCACACACGCTCTCAGGAAATCAACCTCCTCCTCCTCCTCCTCCCCCACACGCTCCCTACTATCGCCTCCCCGACAGGCACAAAACAGCCCCCTCCCCAAATCAACACTAGTGAATAACTGTATTTTTGTTGGAGCGCTTCCAGCACGTTCCCCTCCAGAGGCAGTAAATGAAACCCTTCAGCTCTGGCACTCACTTCTCGGCTGAAACGCGTGCACACGCGTGCACTCATTCTGAAAGGGAAGTAAAGCGGCACCAAGATCATTCCCAAAATAACGACCTTTCACTTCTCCCTCACACAACTTCCTCTTTTGTTAAAAAATGCAGCACTTCCAACTTCGTAAAACCCTCCTCCTTCGGTCAGCTGTTTGTGTTTTAAAATGCTGTTTCTTCCATTTCGTTCAGGGGCTCCTAAGGGACCACTGCAGAGACAGACATCAGATATCCCCGGTGTCAACACCTGCGTGATTTCATTTCCAGCAAAATCCAAAGAAAAATCTTCAGATAATTTGGCCACATTTTCCCTTCCCTCTAAACAACCAAAAGCTGTCGTGAGCAGAACCTCTCGCTCATACTTTCTTCTGACTCACCAAAGCAGCCCTGACCATGTTAGATTTTTCCTTTAGTGAAGGCCTTTAAAAAAGTATTTAAAATTCCTACCTTCCTTGGATTCATCAGCTTCCGAGCTCATGGCGTACTTCAGTAGCTCCCTGCAGACCAACTTACAGCTGACGAGTGCTTTGAGAAGCAGCAAGTCAACTTCTCAAAGAAGGAAAAAAGAAAAGGGGTTGGGATTTTAAGGGGAAAAGTTTGCAAATTCAACAAATCACAGCTCAGCTGTGTGAGAAGGAACCCGCCCCCTTCTGAACTAGCACATGAGCAACTGTCTGGAAAAACAGCACCTTAGCAGAAACTCTCCTTTTCCCTGGCAGCAGTTGCCATTTATGCATTTTATTCCTCCTAGTCCTTTAGTCTGTAGAGGGGTGGAGTTTTGCTTGCTACAGCTTGCCAATGTGGTATGAGAAAGCAAGCAGATGAGACAAAAACACCCTGAGCGTGGAACAGTGTCTGATTGCGGTGACTGACAAACAGATTTGGCTCTGATTTCCTGCTGTACATTTTAATTTAAATATATTTTTCAGACTGAACTATATATTACAACACTGCTTGCTATCTAGAATTAGTTCTGCAGCATCTGCAATTGTACTGACTAATACAGGATGACTAGATAAAGGCTTGAGGAAGAAAAGCAGCAGCCTTCTTTTAAGTAATTTACGCTAGAGGTAAAGAGTTACTTTGAAGAAAATCTGAATAAGAGATTTTTTTTTTACTCTGAAAGCTGTAATTGGTCTCTAATTCTGGAAACGCTATTTGAGCTCTTTGTGTTACAGACTCCCCATATATTAATAAAGATTTTAACTTTTGTTTTATACAACATTGTTTTACAGCATAGCAAAGGAATGGGCACGTTTTACAGCACTCCCCCAACTACTCACACAGCAGAACTTATGAACAGGCCATAGGTCTTCAGCACAAGAGCAACAGGAATGCCTATTTTCCGACTGGCAGAGTCTTCAGTAAAATCCCAGAATAGCTAGGAAGTATCTTTTCCGATCTATTGCTTTACTTATTTTTAGCACGGCAGGCGGAACAGCCCCTGTGGAAAATGCCATTGCCCGGGCACGAAGGGAGAGGCGGGAGCCGCGAGGGGAAGCGCCGGATGCGCCGCTGGCCGGGCTGCTCCGTGGCGCGGGATTCCGCCCGGCGCCCCGGCCTCCTGCGATAAACACCGTTTCAGGATAAATGATGTTTCATAATGTGAGCAATTTTTGCCTTGTTTTGAGAGTTTCATTCAGGATAGGGAGGGCCTTGGGCCTGTGTCATGCCTAAGGAAGGCAGATCTCATTTTTGTTGATGCTTCTTGGTGATGCTGAAATATTTTTACCTGCAATAAGCACAAATCCATAGGTCTCTCACTCAGAGAAACTCTTCTAGAAGCTGCCCTACTACCTGGAGCGGGTGGCAAAATACAGCAGCTGTGCAGTTCAGCACAGAGACTGAACTGCAGTATTAATGTAAATGTATCACAGAAGAGAAATAATTATATCAGGCTAATAAAGAAGGTGCATTTTCAAGAAAGAAAAAAAAATTACTTCTCCACATCCTCCTGCTCCTCAAACACTGATTAGAGGTAACTACTAAACAGCAGATTGAAATCACTTTAACTCCCATGGTCCTCCCCCATCAAAAATAAAAGAGGAACAGGAAGAAATTTGGTGTTAGCCAATGTTAACTGCAATAGTCTTTGGGCTCTCTTGGTTAAAGGTAGCATTTGTACAGAAAAAAGAATGTTCAGAAGGTAATCATAGTCTTCCATAAATAGCTTTATACAATAGAAGCCTTTTTCCTATTGTAGGAGACTGGCAAGAAGAGATGAGTCTTGCAGTTTTATTTCAGGAAGCTTTGTAATTTTAGACATATAAAATTTATCATATTAGAACTCAGAAGACAGGTAAGAAAAATCTGATTATTCAGATTTATTTTCTACAGAGTGTCAATTGCATTTCATTACCTGTCTCTTTTGTGCACAAGGTTGCAAGTCAGAATTTAGAATTTTTTTTTGTATTTTCATTTTGGATGTCATAGAATCACAGAACAGTTGAGGTTGGCAGGGATCTCTAGAAATCATCTAGTCCAAGCCCCTGCTCCAGCAGGGACACCCAGAGCACGGGGCACAGGGCGGCATCCAGGCGGGTTTGGAAGATCTCCAGAGAAGGAGACTCCACAGCCTCCCTGGGCAGCCTGTGCCAGGGCTCTGTCAT